ACGAGTTTTTTGAGATACCAGCTGTCTCTCAGCCGATTTTTTGCATTGAGTTGATAGAGTAATTTGAGTTAACGAGCTCCTTAACGAGCTCGGTCTCAGAACGAATTAAACTCCTAAGTCAAGGCCCCACTGTATATGCCTGTATTTTCCCAGAATAGATGCCTAAACATGGAAACACAAAGGATGTATTTACTGTAGAGCTGGAATATATGCCAAATTGTCCTCCAATAAGACTATGCCTATTTACACTTCCTCCTGCAGTGAAGGAGACACTGATTTCTCACACACTGACGCGATGCTTTTGTAATCTTGCTTCCTCAAGTTTATTTGTTAATGGGATATTTCAAGCTGTATATTGCCATACTCCCCTTGGGATGTAGCCCAATTGGGAATGGGGGTGGGGAGGGCAAAGAACTTTCACTACAGTTATGAAAAGAAATTTAATTAGCAGAAATTATGTAAGACAACATAATGTGATGTTTGCTACTCTAGCACTTGGAGTTTCCACTATGAAGCAAAGGGTAATTATGGCCTCTAATAGTTTTGCTGAAACATGCATTTCAATGATGGAAGCTGCAAGGTTGCTAAGGAGGGCCCTCCCTTCAATAATAACAATACTTGACCTTTATGACCTATGCCTGTACTTCACACCTATCATCTCACCGAATCCTCACAAGCTGGTGGGGTCACTTCCATTAGCACCCTCATGTCAATGGGACTGAGACTCAAGGGACTGAGATTCAGAGGAAGTCCATGCTTTGCAAACACTTCAACCCCATCTCAGACCCACCGATGGGGAACTTCCAATGGTGGAGTTCAGAAAAGCTCCTCAGATGCTTTCATGCATATGGAAGTGAGGAACACTTGGCCTACCTGATAAAACCTTTATTTCTTGGTGAAAAACTAAATAAAATGTCTCCATGAATAGGTGATTTCTAGTGCTCTAGTGACAGTCACAAATTTGGGGATTTGGGAAGTTCTCATGACACATTATCACTTGATAGTATATAGGTGTCTGCAACAACCATCAAACATATATAAAAAAATTAAGGGAGGAACAGTATAGGCGTGCCTAAAAAATTAAATATAGAATTATATAACATCAATTCCACTTCTGTGTATATACCCCAAAAATTTGAAGGGCTATTTGTACACTCATGCTCATAGCAGCATTATTCACAAGCTGAACTTGGAAACAACCCAAGTGTCCATTGACCAACGAGTGGATAAGCAAAATATAGTATATACATATAAGGGAATATTATTTAGCCTTCAAAAGAAAGGAAATTCTCCAATTTGCCACAACATGGGTGAACCTTAAGGATATTATGCTAAGTGAAATAAGCCATCACAAAAAGACAAATACTGTGTGGTTCCACTTATATGAAGTACTTAGTCAAATCATAGAGACAGCAAGTATAAAGGTGGTTGCTAGGAGCTGGCAGGGAGGAGAGAATTGGGAGTTAGTGTTTAGTAGTTATAGAGTTTCAGATTTACAAGATGAAAGAGTTGTGGGGATAGGTGGTGGTGACTGCTGCACAACAATGTGAATATGTTTAATACTACTGAACTATATGCTTAAAAATGGTTATGATGGTAAATTTTGTTAAGTGTATTTTAAAAACAATAAAAAAGAAAAAGAAAAACCTAAGGAAGAAGACTGAGTCTAGACATTGGGCATCCCTACATGTCCTTAGTCTGCAAAACCTAAATGAAACTATTGTACTGTAGTAAACGTCTACACTTGCTGAGAATTTTAATGAATGTATTGAGCCAAACTGACAACAATTGTCAGTAAACAGAATATCAACAGATTGAGCAAATGCTCCCGAAAAATAACAGTTTTGCAGTTTATTTTATACGTTAGAATAAAAGGAGGAGATATAAGGAGGGTTACATAAACTTCATTAAGAGAGTGTGAGAAAGTAAAGTGGAGAAATCTCTTAAGATTGGATAAAAAGTAAAACAGAGAGGCATATCTGTTACATTGGTCAGTACAGAATAGTTAACACCTACTGCACACAGAGATGGTATTTAGGCAACAAGATAACAATGTGGTCTCAAGCTCTGGTGCCATTGGTTGTGCGATTGTGCCTTCGAGGAATCTGGAAAAGAAAATTACTCTGATATTTCAGAGGTATGATATCTTAGTTGTTCGAATAAAATTGACTTGCTCACTTAAAGATTAACTTTGTCAACAAAGCTACAGGTCTAGAATGTGACTACCAGCCATGACCCACTTTTAGTTAGGAATTTTAATGTTCGGACCATCCTATGTGGTTACTTGGGTCTTTGAGTTTATAAGGTCCATGATGCAGGCCTCCATGGCACTTGTCAGGTTTAGTATGTGGCCTCTTTTTCATCCACACTGTTTAAAAAGTAGAAAAATGCAGTCACAGTTTTGTCTCAGTTTCTCCACCTTTTTCCCTTTTCTGTCTGCTTAGATTTAGTGGAAACCAAGATGAGAGGCATTAAGAAGGAAGAACAGGTGGAGACAACTAGAAAATCAGGAGAGGACAGGTCCCTTGGGTCTGTGAAGGGTGAGTATGAAAAGCAGCTCAGGACAGCCATATGGCCGCTGGGCTCAGTCACCAGGAAGAACTGTGATTCCTTTCACCATCTGCAGCTCAATTTGCATGCTAACTCAGCTCCTGGCCTCCTGAGAGGAAAATGCCCTGTCATGGGAACATTACAGAACATTCTAGGTGGGGGTAAGACAGGGAGAGGACAGAATGTTTGCACAAACCAGAGCATTAGGAAACAGACTCCCTCCTATCTCGAAAGGGAACAGGGGAGGCAGGCACAGCAAGGGAGAAGAAAAACACAGGCCTGGCTTCCAGAAGCTGATCCACAAACAGTAGGCTCTGTTCCCTGTCCTGTTCTGGCTCTGGCCCCCTCCCAGAAACCCAGAGAAACCTCAATTGAAAAGTCAAGTAAGGAGATACCTGGCTCAGGGTAAGAAAAGGAAGTTTTATGAAAAGAGAAAAAGAAAAACACAAAATCTCATACTGTGCAACAGGTGAAGACCTACATTGCCCCACTACCAGGACTCCATGCTTTTGTTTATAATTCCTGGGTAAAGTACTTCTTCATTAGAGTATTCAGGTCTCATAAGCCTTCCTTGGTGATTCAGCGTCTGTGGAACTGAGTTCCTCCCTCCCAATTTGTTCAGGGTCAGGGAGGCGTGGGGAAAAAGATTGCAGTGTGAGGGAGAGCCTCTAACCCTGCCCCCTCTCTAATAGTAAAGTCAAAGACAGGTCACAGCTCTGTTCTAGACTTCATGTGATAAATGAGAGGACAGAATCTTCCAGATAGGAATCCAAGGTCCTTCCCACCCTCAGAGGGCCACAGGAGTCAAGAAGAGGCAGGCTTACCCTTGACCTGGCTGATGGGTTTTGTACCCTTGGTTAAGCCTCAGCCCTCATTCTCAGCTGCTGAAGCAGACCCTCTTCTTGAGATGTCTCACCTCATTATAGTCCACCACCTTGGAATATGTCTACTTCACCCTGGGTTTGTCCTAGAGGAAAGTTTATCTCACCTTCTAGAGCAGCGGTCGCCAACGGGTGGTCCGCAGACCCCTGGTGGTCCATCAGGTCTTAAAGGTTGGCGACTGCTGTTCTAGAGTATTCCATTACTTTTCACACTGAACTGAAAGGAGCCATTGTTGGTGATTCTTTAGCTGGTAACTAACTGTATGAGTTTCCTATTGCTGCTGTAACAAATTACCACAAATTTGATGTCCTAAAACAGCACACATTTGTTCTCTTAAAGTTCTGGAGGTCAGGACTTCTGGTCAAGATGGTGGTGTAGGTAAATGCAGTACTCGCCTCCTCCCACAACCACATCAAAATTACAAATTAACTACAGAACAACCATTACTCGAAACTGCCTGAAAGCTATCTGACTGGAATTCCTTCAGCTAGGGATTTAAAGAAGAAGCCACATCGAGACTGATAGGAGGGGTAGAGATGTAGAATGGGCTGGTCCTATACACACATGCAGCAGTTTTTAATTGGGAGGGATATCTTGGCTGCAGAGGCTCCCCTGGAGAAGCGAGGGGTCCCAGCCCCACACCAGGCCCCAGTGCAGGGTTCCATTGCCAAAAAGAGAAGCCCCCATCATTTCTGGCTGTAAAAACCAGCAGGGTTTGAGGCTGAGTGACACGGAGACTGCTGGAACCCCAGGAAGTTCCTTTTAAAGAGCCTGTGTGTGGACTTACTCCCTCTGAGCTCCAGCACTGGGGCAGCAGCTCAAAAGGCACCAGGGACATATGAGTAGGAATTGAATTGTCTGCATAAGGGCAAGAGCTGGGGAGCTAGCTTTCTCCCAGACAGAAGTGCTGGCAGAGGCCATTGCTCCTTTGATGAGCCCTCCCCCCAGAGATGGGAAGGGGGGCCATATCTGAGTCTCCATCAACCTGTGTAGTATTATTCACTTGCCCTGGTAATTTCCTGAGACCCCCACCCCCATCCCACTCAACTTTCAGTGCCACCCAAGCTGTTTCCAGTGGTTTTTCCATACGAATGGTCTGTCTTGGCTCATGCTTCAGACTTTTCTAAAATCGCTCAAAAAAGCAGTATCTGGCCTCAGCATGCCAAATACCTTTTTCTAAACCACTTCTCAGTCCTTGGCACTCAGTTGTCATAATATGAGAAGGTTGGACAAAATGTTCTGAGAGGTTCCTCCCAGCTTAACAGACTACAATGCTATGTTCTGTAGATCAAGACTTGACTGTGCATGTAATTCTATCTCAGGGCCCTGTTCTGACTCATATACTAGGAAGTTCTGATGGGTTATTAAAGAGACATGGCTTTAGGTTACTCCCACAACACTCCAGAAACAAATTTGACATTCATTCTTCTGTGTTCATGATAACACTCTACCTTTGCTTTGGACTTTAGAGAGCTGATCTACATGATGACACTGGGAAGTTAGACACTATGCCCATTTTAAGTAAAAAAGCTAAGGCTCAGAGAGGGAAAGAGAATCTTTTAGATGTCAGACCCTGTAATGGGTGCTTCACACATGACCTCATAACAACCCTTCCAAGTAGATAATATTACCCCCACTTTACAGGTGTGAAAATTGAGGTCCAGTAAGGCAAGATGACTTTTCTAATGATTCACTGATAAGTGATGGAGACCCACTTTTCTGACTCTGCAATACCTTGTCTTTCCTCTATATTGTACTGTTGCTGCTTTTTACAACTTCTCTACTAAATGTGGAGATGATGACCCTTATCATCACAGCTGTCCTTTTGAATCATTCTTTCATGGTACTCTCCAAATAGACCTACAAGCATAAGCAAGTCACAGCACCTCTGTGCCCATTGCCTCATCTATAAAATTGAAGGTACGAGTCTCTACTTCACATGGGTGTTAAAATCATCGTTCAAAGTATTGAGATTGTATTTTTAGAGCATTTAGCCCATATGAAGTTCTCAGTAAATGCTCATTCTTATTTTGTTTGGAAATGGCAATTTGCCCCTAATAATAATACCAGGAAATTCCCTTCATACCAAATCATATTTAAAAAAAAAATAAATTGTCTTTTTAAAAAAAGTTTTATTATGAAAACACACAGAATCAATTGCACTACCCATGTATCCTCAATAGCAGAGAAACTGATGGTGGACCATCCCCATGGAGAATATGTGTCCTTTGGCAAAACCAACATAAATTATGGAAATAACATCAATAAAATAACACAACACATAATGAAGATTAAATTAAGAGAAGGAACAAGGACTACTGTGAGGAGCTGTGAACATGGAGAGGGTGTGTCTCAGTGAGAAGTGTCAGGCTCAGGTACCTTTCCTGGAGACCTGCTGCCCCTGTCCCTGGAGTGGCTCAGTTCAGCTCCAAGTCATTCATGTAGTCCTGGACCCAGGCCTCACTGGGGTTGGAACAGACGTGTCTGCCCTTTTTGGTTTGGAATCTGTGGAACAAGAAGTAGATAGATTACAATCACATGGGACCTTGTCTTTGGTAGATATCTCCCTCTGTTCATGTTGGACAGTTCTAGTGGGTGAGAGGATGCTGCTGGGGCGATACTAGAAATGAATTTCTTGTAACTTCTACCCTGGATTTAGCTGTGGCCTCAAGGTTGTCCAGATTAGGAACCAATGAGTTTTACAATCAATATGGCTATATTTTCCCATTCATTCCCTAGATCCCCTAGCAATCACTTTTCCATGTGTTTTTCTAAGCATGGTTTAAGAATTAGCCCACATGTCCTTGGATCTTTTTAAATTTCCCTGGTTTTCTAGCCTCTAATTTCTTCATAACCTATTCCTTACTGCTGTCTGGGAAGGCTTCAACCCTGAGACTGTCTTCCTCCTGTTTTATCCTCTCCCTGCCCCAAAATGCCCCTTGTCTAATCCTGCCCTTGCCCTTGCATCCCAAAGCAGCCCAGGGCATGATACTTACACCATGGTGGGCTGGGAGCAAAGGCTACTGGTCTTGTAGTAATCCATCACAAAGTTGCAAGGAATTTTCCATGGGATGTAAGTGAAGCAGCAGGCAGTGGGAGGGTCTGAGCCCACTGTAAAGAAAGGCTGAGGTAAGCTCAAAGTTCTACAATAAATTGCTCTTTTGGATTTTAGTTATGGATATTCAAGGGGCATCTCTGTGGAGTTACCAGATCACCAAATACGGGCCCTTGTATCTAATCCCACTCCACTGCATAGGAGACTTTTTCTGAATACAGGATCCTAAGAGATCATAGAGCTGGATTGAGTCTCAGAGCACACATATACCTCCATTTAAAAAAATCAAATCTTTATTGTTGAAAATATTACATATGGCTCCTATTTCCCCCCATTGACCCTTCTAGCCCGTCTCCTTCGCCCACCCCAGGCCTTCACTATCCTATTGTCTGTGTCCGTGGGTTATGCATATATGCATATAAATTATTTGATCACTTTCCACCCTCCCACCCTCCTCTGCCTTCCCTCTGAGATTCTGCAGTCTGTTCTATGCTTCTATGTCTCTAGATTTATTTTGTTCATCAGCTTATTTTGTTTGTTAGATTCCACATATGAGTGGGATCATGTGATACTTACCTTTCTCTGACTGGCTTATTTCCCTTAGCATCATGCTTTCCAGGTCCCTTCATGCTGTCTCAAAGAGTAAGTGATCCTTCTTTTTTATTGCTGCATAGTATTCCATGGTGTAAATGTACCTCAGCTTTTTTTATCCACTCATATACTGATGGGCACTAGAGACAGGGACTTTCTTAAACAAGTCTACGAGTTACTATTTTTTAAGGAAACAGGAATTTGAATATTACCGAATGTCTGCTGGACACTACATTTGACAGAAGCCTACTTAAAAATTCTCCCAGCTCTCTTTTGTCCCATCCCCAGATGCCAATGTTGGATCAGCCCCCACTAGAAAAGTGGGTTCTGCCTATACCATGGCTTTGCCTATACCATGGCTTTAGAAGTAGTACCTGAAATAACAGACTTACTTGGTGCTGAGAGCGCTGGAGAGCAGAAGGCAGCCACTAGCACAAGGAGAGAGAGGACAGCCACACAGAGCTTCATGGTCTTGGCGGAGAAGAGGCTTTCCTGAGAGTGAGAAGCTCTGCACTGCTTCTCTTCCCCAGGGTGATGTCATCACGATGGAAAGCAGGAGGTGGAGGGGAGAAGTGGGCTGCACTCTAAAGTGGTACATTAAAGGCAGTGACTGAGACTGAGGAGAGAATTGTAAACCCAAGAGGAAGGATGCAACATTCACACCTGCTAGAAGGACTTTGTGTATAAGAGCTCCATGCTGCTCTTGGTGGTTGGCACCTTCAGAAGCTGCAGGCTTCACATCAGTCTTTCCAGGATTGTCAAAGTGTGGCCCAAAGAAGGAAAGAGGATCCAGAATTCCATGTCACATTCCTGGGCCTTCTACTGCTGGACTGAGTGATCTCAGTGCCCTACATGTTTTCTGGGACATGAAGAAAGAGTCCAGCATGGAATGTGCAGAAGGATACAGCAGGACAATAATCTACTCACTGAACATTTACTATGTGCCAGGCACTGGGAAAGTTGTATATTTACCTAATATCAAATCCCACCTTGACCCTGAGTAGGGGTATAATTATTTCCCTGAAGCAATAAGGACGGAAGAACAGAGGAGAGTTCACTGATGATCTCAAGGCCACACTCTTAAGTGGCAGTGCCAAGATTTGCAATGAGATTCTTCTGACTCTAAAATCTATTTTCTTTCTAGCCTGTTGTCACAAATATAGAATGTGAACACAAAGAGAGAAACTATTACCAATAGGGGCTGTGCCACACACAAAGAGCCGTCTTATTAGGGCTGAATTTAGGAGGGGATTTTGCATCAGTCTGTCCTAGAACAAGAATGGAACAGAAGGGAAAAGAAATAAAGGTTCCAATATGTTCACTTGGACCCATAATGCAAAAGGAAAGAAATCAGTAAGAATCAATCTTGGAAGACCCAGAGAAAGAATGTTCCTCTATAGTTTACAAAGTGATCCCCCAAGAAAGCTAGCACCCATCTGACATCATGCAGTTATCACAATATTATGTACTATATTCCCTAAGCTGCACTTTACATCCTCGTAATTATTTTGTAACTACCCATTTGTATTTTTTAATCCCTTCATCTTTTTCACTTTTGTAAGTTATATAAATATAGAACCACTATGCTGTATACCTAAAACCAATATAAATTAATATTGAATGTCAACTGTAATTGAAAAAATTAAAAAGGGGGGAAAAAGGAATGTTCCTCCAGTGTGAAAATGGGATTGGCTATACCTAGCTATGAGTTTATCAATGTTACGGATAAAACATGTAATCTAAGCATGTGGGTGCTTCCCAGCCATCCATAGGGAATTCCTTGTGTTCATGTAAAGCCCTGCTTGGTTTGGCAGCTGCTTTCTGGGAGGCCTTCGCCCTGAGGCCTGAAGCTGACTTGAAGGTGACCAGGTGAAGCTCACAAAGACCAGGAATACAATAGTGCATGCAGTGGGCAAGTGAGGGTGATTAGGATGATTGGATCAAGTTCTCTATCCACCTTCAGCTTAGCCACTCTGACCCACCTTCTCACTACCAGCCTTGAATTGCTACCTACTTCTGCTCTGAGAAAGAACAAAGTGTGAAAACAGAAAAACAGATACCCTGGATACTGTAGAAATGTGGGATAGGAAGGGGCAGAGCAACATCTTGGGGTACTTCAAGGTCACTAAATAAAGTACATTGTTATCCTACCTTATATCACTGCCTCCACCACTACCTCCACACACATACAAACTGTATTCTTTCCTCCATCCTTTCTGTCCTCACCTTTTTCTTTGTGTGAATCTTGCTTCAAATGCTCTGATCTTCACCAAGACCCCTATCCCCAGCTCTAATGTTCTGTAATCCCTCATATCACATATGCTAGTACCTCTCCTGGTCTCTCCTTGTTGGTGGAGTTTCATCTTCATGTGTCAAGGACCTTACTTTAAGGGAAAGAGGGTGTGTCCTGTATTCCCTGGGATTTACCCAGACTTTGCTATCCATGCCATTTCCACTCTGTTTTTTGTCAGGGAAAGCAGAGCAGAATGAAGCCCCATCACTCCCTCCAAGAGCTTGTAGTCTAGTGATGTTGACAGTGAAATAAATGACTATCCCATGGGTTGGGATGTTACATTCCTGACAGAAATTTAAAGTGTCACCAGTATTTGACGGGTTCAAGCAAACCTTCAGGATTCTTTGTGAAGCATCTTACTTCCTTCAAATTGTGCTTTTATACCTGTTTCTAGCTCTTTCCAGGCTGGAACATCCAGCAAGAGAGGAAAATAAATCAGTAAACCGTTATTGAGTACCTGCTATGTCAGGCAGGGGAGACATGCTTTGGAAAGTGGTGGTTAAGTATTGAGACAGTCTTCCCCAAAATGTGATATCTGATTTTTATAAAAATTTATATTAGTTTGTTTTATTTTCAATGGAAAATATACATACATGGTCACTGAACAAAATTGAGAAAAAATAAGAAATAAGAAAACAAGAAAACAAAAATTGCCCAGCATTCTGGACATAGTTTTGCATTTTGCTATGTTACTTAATAGTCTTTCTTGAAATAGCATATCTTATTATCATTTATTTATATTCTTCCCTGTCATTAGAAACTCAACTTATTTAAAATAAGTATGAATTATATTTCGTTGAATGTATATACCAAAAGTTAACACCAAAATTTATATTTAACCATTGTTACTTAGGTCAGTCCATTCGGGTTGTTCTAACTTTTCTCTATTGTAAATTGAGCTGAGACCTGAAGGATGATTAGCCAGGAAAAGTGTGTGTGGATGGGGTTATTTAGGCAAAGAACAAGAGGCCTGCACATGTATAAAATAAATTCATTGCAATATTCAGTAATAATGATAACAGTGCCCTAACTGGTTTACCTCAGTGGATAGAGCGTCGGCCTGCAGACTGAAGGGTCCCAGGTTCGATTCCGGTCAAGGGCATATACCTTGATTGTGGGCACATCCCCAGTAGGGAGTGTGCAGGAGGCAGCTGAATTGATGTTTCTCTCTCATCAATGTTTCTAATTCTCTATCCCTCTCCCTCTCTGTAAAAAAACAATAAAATATATATTTTTAAAAATAATGGTAACAGCAACTAACACATAGCACTTACTATGAGCCAGTGATGCTCTAATTCTTTTATAGATGCTAATGTATTTAATCTTACTAGTATTATCCCCTCACAGATTAGGAAACTGCAGCACAGATAGGTAAGTAACCTAAGGAAGAACACACAACTAATACATGATAGATTTGTAAATGACACCAAAGAAGTCAGGCTCCAGAGTGTAAGTAAATCAGAAAAGGGAAATGTCCTTATTTTAAATTTATATTTAAAACTTAACAACCAAAGTTTTATAATTATGATGTAAAATATCTTTCAGTTTTACATTTTGCACGTCTTTGAAAACTGGAATCCATGGGTTTCTCTTTCTTCCTTAGAAAATTAAGAGAATTAAATCGTGGTTTTCCTTATTTGTTCTAAACATTAATCTCTGCAGAGGATGTGGGATGTACCCATGCTTATAGTATTTAATTCTGCCCCATGAGTACACTGGGCCAAGATATGATTCATGTCCCCAGCCGAACAGATCAGAACAGTGTGCAATTTAAAACCCATGAATTGTTTACATCTGAATTTTCCATTTAATATTTTGGACCACAATTGAACATGGCTAAGTGAAACCAAGGAAAGTGAAACCACAAATAAGGAGGGACTACAGTAGATGAAGGAGGTGAAGTGGAGGGATGAGCCAAGGGTGACTCCCAGGTTACTGGCTTGGAAGCTGGGTAGGAGGAGTTGCCTTTTAGTGAGTTAAGAACACAGAAGGAGCACAGGGACAGGGGGAAAGATCTGAAGCAATACCACGTATATGCCTTGATCCACTGTACACATACAGAGGAGCATGGTACGAACTCAAGATAGAGAAGCAGAGAGAAGGGGCTGCATGAAGACACTGCCTCTCTGGGATGCTAGAAAGGGGTTCCCAGGACATTGTTTCTACCTACATGAAAGATGGAGCCAAGTCTGCTGCAACCTGACTCTGGGCCACACCTGAAAAAAGGAGTATGAGGCTGGACCATACAGGGGCAATGTTATCCGTGAACCATCCATGGAGCCTCTGCTCTTGAAGGGAGAGAGCTGAGATTGACACCTGAGGAAATGAAACTACAGAGCCAGAAACTGAAGTGAAACCAACCCAGCAGGGCCAGGACTTGGGAAGCAATGAGGAGGGGAGCAGAGCAGGACTAGGCAGTGATGTTACAGAACATGAATTCTTCAGCCGGAATTCCCTGCACTCATGGCTGGAGCACTCTGTGGGACTGACATGGGGCCTCAAAGAGGCTGGAATGAGTCAGAAAGCTACGGCACAAATCAAGCCCCTCCATGCTGAGGATCCACCGTGGTGACTGCTGGCTACTTCCTGCCCCACTGCCCAAGAAGCCTTGGGTCATCCCCAAAGATGAAGACCTTGACTCATGGCCTTCCTGATCTTTTCATTCCTGTTAGTATTTCAACTCCACAGTGGGACACCTACTGTTAGTCAAATCAGTGATTTATTCATTCATTCACCAAATATTTATTAAGTTCCACTATGTATCAGGTGTGGGTACCATTGGAGAAACATTGGTAAATAATTCACACAGTGAAATATAAAAGTGACCAATTCTATCTGCATGATCCTGGGCAGTTATTTCACCTGGGAACATCAATTTACCACATATGAAATTTCATCCTGAGAATCCCTCACATTATTTATCCAACATATGCAGTAGCATATATTTTGTATATAAGTATGCTATTTTCCATTTCAAGGAAAAACATATAAGACATAAGGTTATTTCCTAGACTTAGGGACTGATATGGAAAAGTTACATATATAATCACTGAGATAGAATTTTATATTCAATAAATTGCCTTTATTAAAAGAACAAACATATAAGAAATAGAGACTATGTCAGAAAAATCATCATGTTATCATCATCATGTGCCAGGCATATATGGATCAAGTGGATCAAGGCATATACGTGGTATTGCTTCAGATCTTTCCCCCTGTCCCTGTGCTCCTTCTGTGTTCTTAACTCACTAAAAGGCAACTCCTCCTACCCAGCTTCCAAGCCAGTAACCTGGGAGTCACCCTTGGCTCATCCCTCCACTTCACCTCCTTCATCTACTGTAGTCCCTACATGGTATGAATTTGGCTTAAAGTCAACAGGACATGATCTACATTTTTTTTCAAGAGAAAATGGCATAAATAACACATATAACTCAATACAGTAAGTGCTGTAATCATGGAGGTAGGTAGTAAGGTCCATTATCAGAAAGTGGTTGATTCAGCAGTTCCCATTTTCTTCTTCTCGTCCTGCCCAACTCATAGAAGCCAGCTCTCAGAAATTGCATCATGAGTATGAAGGGAGTTCCCACAAGAAGTGAGGGGATGTAATTCAGGGTATCAATTGAAGACTAGGGCAGGAGAGTTGGGGTGCGAAGAAAGCATTGTCTGTGATCTAAAGTTTCTAATGAAACAGGTGCTAGACTACATTTGTGGAATTGACAGTAGCAAGGGAAGACACATGGATGCTAAAGCCTCAGTGAAACCGGCCATTGCCCCCGATCTTTTCTTTGCTTCACTCCCTCAAGACCAGGGTTAGCACTCATAGAGATGGGACAGAAACTCAGCCCATGTGTTTTCAGGGAAGTAACTACAGACACAGGAAGGACAGAATTCCTAAGGTGTGGTTTCACTTTGCTTATGTCTTGTTTCCATTGTTCTAGCCCCTTTTGGGGGAATTCTAAGCCCTTTGATTTAGTTCCAATTTAGCTTCATCATCCTAGCTCAGCATCAAAGGCTTACCAAAGTTGTTCCTGGGACTCCAAGCCAATTAGCAAAAACACCTCAGCATCTAGAACAACAGTTGCAGGATGATAATTTCAATCCCAGTACGTATACCCTTTATTCTGAGGAGAATCTACCTATGGATTTCCTGGGTAAACCTTCTGAGCCCCCTGAGGAGGTTGAAATTTTTCCACCCCAGCGGGAAAAATACAACTTTCATTCCTATTGATTTGTATTTCATTCTTTGGATTTTTCATTTATTGTTTTTTTTTTTCAAATAAGCAGCACATTCATATGATTTAAAAATGTAAAGATACAAGGATCTAGAAGAGATATTTGTACCCCCATATTCATAGCAACATTCTTCACAATAGCAAAAACGCAGAAGCAAAGGTAACAAGGGAGGACAGAATAAACAAAATATGGTATATACCCTGGAATATTATTCAGTGCTCCCACTTGCTACAATATGAACTTTGAGAACACTATGCTATGTGAAGAAAGTCAAAGACAACAAGGCAAATACCGTATGATCCCATTTGTATAAGGTGTCAGAGTGGTCGAATTCACGGGACTAGAAAGTAGAGTGGTGGTTGCCAGGGGTTGCAGAGCAGGCATGGGTAGAGTTTCAGTTTTGTAAGATGAAAATGTTCTGGGGATGGATGGTAGCGATCATTGCACAACACTGTGAATGTACTTAATGTCACAGACGTGTACACTAAAAATTTGTTAAGATGGGCCGGGTCAGTGTGGCTCAGTGGTTGAAAGTCAATCTATGAATCAGAAGGTTACAGTTCAATGCTCAGTCAGGGCACATGCCTGAGTTGTGGGCTCAATACCCACTAGGGGGTGTGCAGGAGGCAGCCGATCACTGATTCTCTCTTCATTGATATTTCTATCTCACCCTCTCTATTGCTCTCTGAAATCAATAAAAATATAGTTTTTAAAAGGGTAAAGATGGTCTATTTTATGGTATGGGCATTTTACCACAATTATTTTAAAAAGGCAGAAAAGTGGAAAAAGTACAGAAGTCACTCTTACACTTCTAACAGCCGTACAATTCCTACACCCAAAATACCTAACATCACCAGCCTTTGTGTGTCTTTCCAGAATCTATGCATATACAAGCAAATCCATACTTCCATGTAGACAGGTTCATTTGAGGAGGAACTGAGTTCTAATACACTGTGATATAGGGGTTCAATGAGACAGACTTCAGACCTCCTGAGCTCGTATATTAACAAATGATGCCCTTGTAATGGTTGGGGACTTGAGTCCAGGCTCCAAGTCTTGCTCCATATATCAGCCACGCTAACAACCTATAGATTTTTGTGGGCACAAAATTCCTTGAACTCAGCATATAAAGAGGACAAATGTATCAATATAGTGTTTGGTTATTTTGGGGGGGGAACTTCCAATCAGAATAACAGAGCCGTGGCTCTGTGACTTGTATGTTCTTCCATACACCACAAGGTTGTCAGTTGGATTCCTGGTCAGGGCACATGCCTGGGTTGCAGGCTCAATCCCTGGCAGTGGGCATGCAATCAATGTTTTGCTCTCATATCGACGTTTCTCTCTCCCTCTTCTTTTTCTTCTCACATTTTTAAAAAATCTTTTAAAAAAATTTTAAAATACAAAACAGAATTTACTCAATCCCCAAGCTTCCATAGAAGGGGATTAGGCCGGACTTAGTTGGACCATGTGTCCCATGGCTACAGGTCCTGTGGAGAGGGAGCCTGCATGGAATGCATCACGCTTATAGGGAAGGTGAGGCAGGGACATCTATACCACCACCATGAAAGCTGTTGGAGGAAAGAAATTATCTCATTGGAAAAGGGGACTATTTTTCCATTACTTGCTGGTACCTGCTGAGCTAGCGATCTGGTGAGCTACTGAAAGGGGACAGGAAATGAGTCTCCAGGACGATCCCATTTGTTGTTCCTCACCTCCTGGATTCCCCACACCTCACTGATCCCCATTCCCAGGCTGTGCCTTAAACACACTATGTATTGGCTGGCTCACTGGACAACACAGAGAAAAACACTTGTTTTCATTCTCAGTAAGGAACTTTGGGAGGTAACTTGGGCAGGCACCAAGAGAACAGCATCAGCAAACTAATTAACCACATAGGAACTGGAGGCCCTTGCACTCTGCCTAGAACCC